TTATCATGGAAAATGGTGGTGTGGGTGATGGCATAAAAGTTATTGTGTTATTTATAAATGGCCATGTTACATTATAATTAAAATTATCTTTTCCATAAAAATTCATGCAAATATTAAATGCATAAACTTTATCACAAGTAAGAATATAATTCAATATTAATAATAAAATCAACATATTTTTAATTAATAGTTTTAAAATAAGTGATTTTTAATGTATATTTTAAATAAAGTTGATCAATTTATAAATATAAACATTTATTTAAATATTTTCATACTTCAATAAAATAATTTAATGCTAACTAAACATTATAAGCTATATAAATGAATTATTTTATTAAACAAATTGCTAGAATTAATTATTAAAAGTTAATTAAACTTATTAAATACAATTTTATTTATTAAAACAATTATTTTCTTATTATAGCTAAAAATAAGCAATTGTAACAAATTAATTCGTAATATTGAACTTAATTAACTTAACATAATTACCCATAATTGTCTATAATAATTGCCTAAAATATAATAATTTTGCACTCAAAATAAACCTTTGTCAAACAATTATGAACATTTTAATATCATTAAGAAATTAGCTTGTACAGTTCAAGGCAATTAAGTTAAAGACCTTTTTTGTACAGTAAGCTCGACCTGTTTGGGAACAATGAGTGCTCCAGTGAAGTGGCATTCGAGGGGTTTCTAAAAGCATTCAAAATTAATTTTATCATATTAATCAGGTTTACATGAATAACTAACCTTAGTTGTAGAGAAAATAAAACTAGTCACAAGCTTTACCAAGGCCACTTTGACTTCCATCTGGGCCAGTCGCATACCAATACAATTTCGAGGTCCGGCCCCAAACGGTAGGTACGCATAGGAATGGTGTGCAATATTTTCGGCTAAAAATCTTTCCGGTTTAAAGTCATCTGGATTGGGAAAGTTATCAGGGTCTCTGTGCATAGCGTAGACGGGTATGTGAACAAGGGAGTCTTTTGGTATCGTAATACCG